ACGTAACCTTGATTGGCGGGGATGCTGCGACCTGACCGGAAACTTGCAGCAGGTGCCCAGAAGCTTCTACGTGCAGGGTGGAATGCACGCCTAGCTTCGAGACATGACGAGAAATCACTCCACATCACTGGTTGTTTCCTGATACTTCGCCCTCATTTGCGTCCAACTTATATAAATCTCGCCTGAGTCTTGTCCTACCCAACTTCTTTTGATTCTGCAGAGATACCCATCAACCAAAAGTGTACATACACCTAGTACAAAAACCTGATAGCAGGTTCACAAACGCACGATTTTCATCTTGGCTTCAAGCCATAAATAAGGCTATAGTCACTAATCAAAATGACTTCATTCGACGCCTATACCGACCGAGCTGCAAAGGCCCTGGCAGACAGTTTCGATCTCGCCAAGGGCTATGCACACTCACAACTCACACCTCTACACCTCGCGGTGTCGTTGATAGATCCACCCAAGGACCTCGCAAACACAGTCGACGTACCCCCACCACCGCTATTCAAGCAAGTCCTCGAACGCGCAAATGGCGACCCACAAGCCTTCGAACGTAACCTCAAGAAGGCAATGGTCCGGTTACCAAGTCAAGATCCCCCGCCAGAGCGCACATCACCCTCACCAGCCATGGCAAAGGTGCTGCGTTCTGCGGAAGAGCTAAGCAAGACACAAAAGGATAGCTTCATTGCCGTCGACCATCTCATCATGTCGCTCTGCCAGGATTCGCAAATACAACGGATCCTCGCCGAATCAAACGTACCCAACACGAAGCAGATCGACAATGCCATCCAAGCACTTCGAGGAACAAAGCGGGTGGACTCGAAGACGGCAGACGCCGAGGAGGAGAATGAGAACCTCAAGAAATTCACCATCGACATGACGGCCATGGCACGAGAGGGCAAGATCGACCCTGTCATTGGTCGTGAAGACGAAACACGACGAGTCATTCGTATCCTGACTAGGCGAACCAAGAACAACCCTGTTCTCATCGGTGAGCCTGGTGTTGGTAAGACTACAGTCGTTGAAGGTCTTGCCCGCCGAATTGTCGATGCAGATGTACCAGCAAACCTGGCAGCATGCAAGCTGCTTTCACTCGACGTCGGTGCTCTAGTTGCTGGCAGCAAGTACCGCGGAGAGTTTGAAGACCGTATGAAGGGAGTGTTGAAGGAGATTGAAGAGTCCAAGGAGATGATAGTGTTGTTCGTCGACGAAATCCATCTCCTCATGGGCGCTGGATCTTCTGGCGAGGGTGGTATGGATGCTGCCAACTTGCTGAAGCCCATGCTGGCTCGTGGACAGCTTCACTGCATTGGTGCAACCACCTTGGGCGAATACCGCAAGTACATCGAGAAGGACGCTGCATTCGAACGTCGATTCCAGCAGGTCCTCGTCAAGGAGCCTTCAATCCCCGAGACCATCTCCATTCTTCGAGGACTGAAGGAGCGATACGAGACGCACCACGGTGTCACCATTATGGATGGTGCCATCGTTGCAGCTGCTACCCTCGCCGCCCGCTACCTCACCCAACGGCGGCTGCCAGATTCCGCTGTCGATCTGATCGACGAGGCTGCGGCAGCTGTCCGTGTCACCCGAGAGTCACAACCCGAAGCTCTGGATAACCTCGAGCGACGCCACAGACAACTCCAGATTGAGATTCACGCCCTCTCACGTGAGAAGGATGAAGCCTCACAAACGCGTCTGAAGGAGGCCAGAGCTGAGGCTGCCAACATCGAGGAAGAGCTGAGGCCACTTCGCGAGATGTACGAACGCGAAAAGGGCCGCAGCAAGGAGATCCAGGACCAGAAGCTCAAGCTCGAGGGCCTCAAGACCAAGCTCGCCGAGGCTGAGCGTATGCGCGACATCCAGACTGCCTCTGATCTCAAGTACTACGCCATTCCCGATGTCGAGCAGCGCATCAGCGAACTCGAGCGTGAGAAGGCCCGCGCAGATGCTGAGATGTACTCACACCAGGCAAGTGGAGGTGGTGAGTCTCTCCTGAGTGATGCCGTTGGTCCAGATCAGATCAACGAGATTGTCGCTCGCTGGACCGGAATCCCAGTCACTCGTCTCAAGACCACAGAGAAGGACAAGCTGCTCAACATGGAGCGCCACCTACAACAAGTCGTCGTTGGTCAGAAGGAGGCTGTCACATCTGTCTCCAACGCCATCCGACTTCAGCGCTCTGGTCTTGCCAACCCCAACCAACCACCAAGCTTCCTCTTCTGTGGTCCATCCGGTACCGGAAAGACTTTGCTCACCAAGGCTCTTGCTGAGTTCTTGTTTGACGATCCAAAGGCCATGATCCGATTCGACATGTCCGAATACCAGGAGCGACACTCTCTCAGCAGGATGATCGGTGCACCACCTGGCTATGTTGGTCACGATGCAGGAGGCCAACTTACTGAATCTCTCCGTCGGAAGCCGTTCTCCATCCTGCTCTTTGATGAAGTTGAGAAGGCTGCCAAGGAAGTTCTTACCGTTCTCCTGCAACTCATGGACGACGGTCGCATCACCGACGGTCAAGGCAGAATCGTTGACGCAAAGAACTGCATTGTCGTCATGACCTCCAACTTGGGTGCCGAGCACTTGTCGCGCCCCAATGCACCCGATGGCAAGATCGACCCCACCACCAAGGAGATGGTCATGAACGCGCTGCGCAACTGGTTCCTGCCCGAGTTCCTCAACCGTATCTCATCCATTGTCATCTTCAACCGTCTGACGAAGCGCGAGATCCGCAGCATCGTAGACGTAAGAATGGACGAGATCCAGAAGCGACTCAACCAGAACGGAAGGAACGTGCGCATCGAGATGACACCCGAGGTGCGCGATTACCTTGGTTCTGCCGGCTACTCGCCAGCATACGGTGCCAGACCACTGGCCCGACTCATCGAGAAGGAGGTGCTCAACAGACTTGCTGTACTCATCCTCCGCGGCTCCATCAAGGATGGTGAGACGGCGAGGGTAGTGCTCGATGAGGGTCACGTTGCCGTCCTGCCAAACCACACGGATAGTGAAGACGACTCGGAGATGTACGACGAGTCTGACGCTGTCCATGAGCTGGATGACGATGATGCTGGCATGGACCTGTATGACTAGAGGGATAAAGAGGAAGCATCTGGGATGTAAAAAGATGATGAAAGATGTCTTTGAGCACTGGCGTTAGTTGACTGGCAGGGTTTTTTTCTTATCACTTGGGAAACTTGATGCCCATGATTTAAGAAGGCATCATCACAATGGGTTTTTATGAATTATGAATGATGATGGATTGATTGACTTCAACAGGTGCTTTTGATAAGCATTCTAGGTTTTAGCATACTTGGGCATTAGTGTCTTGTATATAGTTAATGAGACAAATATTTCAAAAATAATCTTCTGTGTTGGTGTCCAGTGTGATAATTTACTGACTTGCGAATGAACTTGACTTGACTTCGAGCAGAGTACCAGTAGAATACTTCGTGAATATTTGCTAGTAATGTTCACTCAATACATACAATAACAATCACCACAATGATACACTTCTCCAAAAGAGTCATTTGAATTCATCAACTTTTTTGTCATTTCTTCGTTGAACGCTCCCATGATGGACCACTTAGCCAAATACAGGTTATTTTGCTTGTCTAAGCCCGGGTATATTGCATCCCACTCCACCACATACTCGAACATCCTAGTAGAAGAAACCCAGAATCTTGCCGGCAACGTGCTTCCTGCGGGCCTCCTCGTGGTCCATGATACCGGCGGAGGTGGTCAGGACAATGAAACCGAATTGACGAGAGGGGAGTAGCTTGACGACCCACTTCTCCATGTCGCGGAGCTGGACGTTGTAGCGGGGGGAGATGACACCGGTCTTGTTGATACGGCCGATGAGCTGGATGACGATCTTGCCGTTGCGGTGGTCGTCGACCTCCTCAAACTCGCCAATGTAGCCTGAAAAAAAAGTCAGTGTATGTTGCGGCGAAATAAACATCAGACGTCATGAAACGGTTCCGAAGACGTGTAAGTCCTCCGCAGTCAATATATCGGACACTTAAAGGTCAATGATCGTGGGAATCGAGATCATTAACTAGTTATCAGCCCGAAGAGGGGGGAAAGGGATGCGGATGCTGTTTCGGATGCGGATGCGCGCCTACGTCGTCGTTCGGAACAGGAGTTCAAGATGTCTGTGAAGAAAAAATTGTACGTACCGTGCTTCTGCATGACGCGGAGGAACTTGACAATGACCTTGGAGGAAGGACGGATCAGGACCTGGCGCTTGCCAGCCTTCTCGGCGTTGTTGATGGCGTTGAGCGCATCGTTAAGGACGGAGGTCTTGACCATTTTGGCGGCGTGTGGAGATTCTCGGTGGCGGCGGAAGGCGACTGAGGTATCTACGCGCAGAATTGTGGTTAGCCTCCAGATGCCAGAGCGTGGAGAGTGCCCTCAGACTGCAAGCATGAGGGTTCTTCAGCTCTTGTCGCAGAGGAGAAGCAGTGTCGCCGCCATCTCTGTGGACGACAGCGATTGCATCTCCAGGCTCTGAAGGGCACTCGGATTGACAAGGGACATACCTCGGCTGGTGCGGGTGGTGAGCGGTTGAGGAGAGTCGGTGAGTATAGCAAAAGTTCGAGTTTGACGGGGAAATTGGTGTGGTGGGCCGTGCGCTCGCTAACTGGACGGTGCGTGGCTTGGCAGGACCGACTGGACCCTTGCGTGCTTGACTGGGGAACCGGCCTCTATACCTACACCCATGGTTCAACCTTCACTGCACGCGACCATTGTATTACAGTTTAGCTGGGAGATTGCTATATTCATATTTAGACACTTGATTCATACATGTAAAGAAGATTTCAATCTGACCAACATACCACCCATGTTGCGCCTTCACGTGCCAACGCAATGTCTAACCGCTTTAGTCATGACGTAGCACGACTTGCTTTGCCCCCCAAGTGTATCTGTATTGCGAATCTTGTATCTAGCACTTCACATCTTCACCAGATACTCACTCTCCTGTCGCAACCATGTCTGAAGCATGCTGCACGTGCGCTACGCTCCTTACGTCGATACCACCTACATACGACGAGAAGACGGAGAAGCCCTCGCAGTTTGAGCGTAGACTTGACTGCTGCGGCCGCGCTATATGCGCTCGATGTTTAACAGACAACCCTAGATTCCAAAACTACTGTCCATTCTGCCAGATAGCAACAGGACCATCGGCATTGCCTCCGCAGGGTCTACGCGATCCTCCTACATATTCGCCACCAGACGAGCACCTGGCGGACGACGAGTTACCACCCTACTCAGCACATAATTCATTGCAAGCGCCACCCGAGAAGTCCAAGGCAAACGGTGAGGATGCGCCGGATGTGCTGCATTTTGTAGACCAGAATAACGACTCGGTACGCTCTTTATCTCTTCGATACGGTGTTCCAGCCGACGCCCTCCGCCGAACAAACAACCTGTTTGCCGACCACTTGCTAGCCGCGCGCAGAACAATTCTTATACCCGGCGAGTATTACAAGGGCGGGGTCAGTCTTAGTCCGCGGCCGCTCGAGGGCGAGGAGGAAGAAATTAAGAAGACGAAATTGAGAAAGTTTATGGTTAAGTGTAAGGTGGCGGAGTAAGTTGCTTTGTGCTGGTATCTTGTTGGTAGTGAGGGATGTATGCTGACTTGGGTGATTAGATATGATGTTGCCCTTCTCTATCTCGAACAAGCAAATTACAACCTTGAGCAAGCGATAACTGCGTTCAAGGCCGACGAGGAGTGGGAGAAGGGACATTCTTTAGAGGCAGCCAAGAAGGGCAAGTCCAAGGCTTCTCAAAGTCTGGGTCGTAAGAAATGGGGGTTCGGAGGCCTTACTGGCCAAGCTTCGTAGCACATGAGCCACTACCGTTCTGGTCGATGTATGTTATACCAATAGACAGTCTGTGCGTTGACACTTCATGTCTTGCTCTACTTTCCCATGTACAGGCAAATTTTTCAACACAATCCCCATCCAATCCAAACAAGTTCGCCCTGAAACTCCTCACTGTTTTGGTATGAGGGGAAGAGGGTGTGAACGATAAAGACCCCGCCCGTTTATTGCCAATGGGCCCATCCATACCGCGCGTCTTGCAAGCACCATGGCTTCCCGTTGGCTGCACATCAAAGCGAACTACAGACCAAAAAAACCTAGTCCTCGAGCTGACTGACAACTTCGCAACACTACGCCGTCCCGGCCATCGAATAACAGCCCTCGAGCAACCCCCCAAAAACGCACGTTGGATCAAACTGTGAAACGCCAACTGCACAAGCGGGCGCTTCGCAAGAAAAAACCCAGGGGATTCGCACATGTATGCATGTGCAAAGACCGGGGGGGGGGGGTGGGCTGCTTCGGGGCAAAGTGTCGGCGCTTACACAGTTCACTGTTTTGTGAGAAATGGTATCCTTGCATGCTGATTGGCTGGCAAATCTCATAACAGAGGGGGCCACCAAAATAAGCTGCAGTGCCCCTAACGAAGGAATCGAGGTACGGGGATGGTAGGTAAAATGTACCGCATGCAGTAAGACAGCAAAGTAAGGGTGTAAAAAGAGAGGCTAATACTGCTATTCTGGGTGTTGGACTGCATGGGTTACGCGCTTGCGAATGATGGCGCTGGGACCACCACACCTTTGCATGTATCGTAGCGCTACTATGGCAGACACGACTGGGTAGTCACAGCGGCAAGGCAGATTGGGCCCGTGTGTGTGTTTTTCCTTCTTGCTTCTCGTTCGTCTATTTCGAGGTTGCGCGAGTAATAGTTTGGGAGTGGGGAGGTTGCAAGGGGATGCTCGGCCGGGTAGCGGCAAAGGGTGTTCTGTGGGCTTGAAACCGCAATTGCGACCAAGTCGTTTTAAAGGCATGTTGGCCACCCGTCTTGGGTGCTTACTTTTTTTGTTCTATCCAGCTCAGGCAGTAAGGTTTTCCTCTTAGACGAACGGCCTCAGGAACGAATATATCTGGCTCTTTTCTCGTTCGTGTCTTTTTGTTTCTTCGTCACTGTCGTTGACATACTCTTTATTTATTTTATACACGGACGATAAGGAATAGGTGATCCTGGTTGATACCTTGTTCGGACGATACAATCTTTACATCCTTGTTGTTTTGTTTCATTCGCCCTTTCTCAATTACGAATAATACTGTCAGACTGGAACTTGAGAGAACACGATCGTCAAGATGAGGATCAACCCCGCTCCTTTCCACATGGCCCAGGCTGTCATCACTGGCCTTGTTGTTGTCCTCAGCATCGCTATCCTCGGTACTTCGGCACACACTCTCCGTGTCTTCAACGAGCAACACCTGTCCAACCCATGGTGGGCTCCCATGTGGCCCCAGCACTTTGATGTGCAAGGAACCAAGGCACTGGTCGCTTCTTCCGTGGTTACATTGGTCCTCTGCGGCGCTTTCTTGATCGCATCATTCATTCCCAAGGTACGTGTAGTTCTGTGGTAGTGCTTTAATAGAGTCATGTAGACTAACAGGTGACAGTTGGCACTTCGTCAGAAATACACTCTGCGCGCGCTTCTTTCTTTGGCAACACTGCTCCCTACTCTTCTTCTTACGCTCATTACTACTGTCTGGGCACATATTCTCAACGGAAACGCACCCGATGTCGACACCATTCAGACATGGACATGTAAGATGCAGAGCTCGCGGCCACTCGAGCAAGACCTACCTGAAGGCATTGCTATGCCGCCTGGCATGGGCAACGGCGACTTCAAGTCGCTTTGTCAATCGAGCAAGTTTGCGCTCTGGGGAACCCTTGTCGTCTTCCTGCTGGTCGGTGCCAGCACTGGTGTCACAATGATTACTTGGATAGCAGACAAGTGGGCTGCCAGGCAGCACAGGAAGGAGGTCGAGATGGGCAACATCCCCGCCAATCTACCTTGAGAGTGGCAGCAGTATGTTCCATCTTCTCCAAGATGAAGGTTTGCTTAAGGGCTGGTTGGGTTGGGTTCGGAGGCGAGTCAATTGTTTAGTATATCCCGGGGTTTGTCCTCACAAGGCGAGAAGACATGGACTTGTATTTTCTGTAAGGCGTACTGGTGTTTTTGACGGAATAAGGCCTCCCGACGGCGGGTCATGGGATGTTATACTTCTTTCGATTTTACGATTTGGATAAATGAAACAAGTCTCAAGCGGCCAAGCAGCAATGCCTCATCCCTTCGACGTCTGGACAGTGTGAGGGCGACGATTCGAGAAGGGCGATTAGCCTCGTTCAAAGGCGATGAGGGCTAGTTGCGCACGAGCGATGGATGGGCTTATAGGGTATCATGGGAAGGTGGTAGCGAGGTACGTTGACGTAGTCGCAATTCCACTGTCTTTAAAGATACGTGTCGGCAGTGTCGGAGCGCCATAACGCTTGCTGCGATGTCATGGCATCTGATGGGCGCTAGCAGGGATTGCAGGTGTTTGTCGCTGAGCAGAAGCAACAGCAAAGCCGGTGGGAAGAAAATGTCTTTTGGATGGGCCAAGATGCGCCGTCTCGAGACAAGACGGGAGTCTCAGCAGTTTCAGCGGCGGAGGGAGTCTGGAGCAAAAGTCTCAGTGCGTGTAGGTAGATGAAAGCGACCCGTACTCGCCCCCGTCCTCGCGCCTCTGCCTCGGACGCGGCGCGCGTGGCTTCATATTAGCCCGCCTCCCGCAGTGGATCCCGTGAATAAGCTGGTCAGCGATCACCCTCCTGTCCCCATTGCCCTTAGTTTGTCGCGTCATTCCAGCTGCCGCCATCCGCCTTGCTCGTCCCCATACTGCCATAGACAGCCCCAAACTATCTTTTGCGCCGGTGCCCTTCAATCTTCCGCTTCGCCAGTGCTGTCGGACCATCGAACCTTTTCTATCCGCCGTTCTTCGACGAGCCGAGCAGCCGATCAGATCGATCCGCCCCCCGGCACAGGGCTCGAGCGTGCATTCAAGCGGCATCAGAAAGATCACCCCTCTCCACTGCGGCAGCGAGGCTGCATAACTGTCTGGACTGCCCCGGCCCGCGCCCTCTTCCTCCTCCTCTGCCTCTGCAATCGCTATGCACCATTGCTCTACACCACCTACACTCGCCCAACAACACCACCCCTGCAAGAAACAGTTCCAGCCTAGCATCACAACCTATTTTGAGGTGCGGGACGGCTTGCACAACGGAGACCACCTGCCGGGCCTAGAGCCAATTACCCGTCTGCGACACCAAAACACACGGCCAATTGCCCACCCCCGAGACCACCTTGCCTCCCACGGCCCTCCCCACGTCCAAGCAGACTTGCTGAGCGTGGGCATGCGAGTACGCAAGAGCGTGCCCGAAGGCTACAAGACGCATAAGATGCTCTCCTCACCCTCGGACCGCTTCGCTAGGCCGAGGCCTCGCCTGGACATCAAGCCCCCGCCAGAGGCCGTGCCCGACCACTACCAGCACCAGCGCGAACTGCTGCCCTTTTGTGGCCTACACAACATTGGCGGCTTCGCTGAACAACCCACCACAAACCCTCACCTCTACACGACTTCTCCAAACCGCCAGAGACCCACCATTGCTTTTCCACTCACCGCCGACGCCTTCACCCAACCCTTCCCAGACCAATCTGCCGCAGACAGCGGCTACGACTCCACCACATCGCCCTCCTCGCAACGTCTGCACAACCCCTCAAAACGCTCCTGGCACGACGAAGACGAGCTAAGGCCACTCAACACAAACTTCCTCTTCAATGGCCGCTCCTCGACATCAAGAGGCGCCAACTTGGCCGTTGAGTTCGACGACGTCCCTGTCAGCCCATTGAGTGAAACACCCACCCAAGGCATAAATTCATTACCCCCCGTACGACAGTTCGCGCAGCCCAGATCCAGACGTACCACAAGGCGGACCATTAGCGACGACGACATTGACATGGACTTTGAAAACGCCGCCCGGATCGAGGGTCGCGTGGGCGCAGGCAGTAATAGTGACTTCGAAGAAGCTGACTTTCTGGCCGACGAAGAGGTTCATATGAGTGGCGTTTGATCTCTTTTCTCTCTCTCCAACTAAGATCTTATAACGGCCTCTTTTCTTGTCTTCTTTTTTTTTGAGTTTGATGCGCCTTTTGTTTTTCTGCTCTTCCGTTTGCAAATCATGGCATATGGCGCTACACGGTGAAGTTATTACGAAAGATGATATGTCGTTCATGTCGGCGCGTATACCCGAAATGTCCTTTTCTTTTTTTTCCTTTCCTAGACTTGGTCTTTTTTTTTCTTCTTTCTCTTCTTCTCCTCTTCTTCTTACTCTGTTGTTCTCTCTGGTCTCCAAGTTGTATACTGCAGGACCTGATAAGTAATCTAGTGTATGTATGTGTTGAACTGAAAATGATCAAATAATCTCTTTGTCTGTTCTGCCACTGTTGTGTTGGGTTCATGCAGCATTACTCACTTCCTCTTCTATGGTGATTGCATAGCCATTTGTTGTTGCTTTCGCACGTGAGAGCTGGGCAGGTATATCGTACCTTCCTGCCATAGCCCTGATTATGTCACGTACACGTGTGTCGTTTCCGTCTCCTCACCCGGTGAGATCACTGGGATTGCCCTCTTCGTTTCCTACGTCCAGACGTCCCTACAAATGATTGCTTTTCTTTCGCTCTCTGCTCGGAAGAGCTGTTGAAAACTTCACTCCAGAAGCCGTACTTGCTGGCGGAAGACCTGTAGGTAACGATTGCATTTCACAGGTCGAAATTTAAAACTGCTAAAATCAAAACAGAATTTTGGAGATTACAAACTCAACTTATGAGTACCAATACTGTTCTTTAAGCCTCGAGTTTCTTCCCACCCTCTGCTATCAGCGCTGTGAAGGTGAAGGTGAAGGTAGCTCATCTTCTTCAATAGTGAGACTCGCGGCTCGGCACTCG